ATATATGCACACGAACACACTTGGATCTTTTCTTGATACTGTAAATAAGCGACCAGACCTCTGACATGGCTCTACTTCAGTTATTCCTGGCTACCCAGCGTCAATATCACTATCATGATCAAACAGATGCCGCTCAACCAACCATCTCCCCTCCCAAAACAGAAGCACAAAGCTAAAAAGTGGGAAATCAATACTGGACGTTAATATTGGCCCAGTTTTACATATCAGACCGATACCGATATTCTAAAAAATGACCAATATCGGCTGATACCGATATTAAAGCCAATATATCGTGCATCCCTAATTTAAACATTAATACGTATAAACATAAAAAAATGAAATTATATAATACTTGTTAAAATGCAAGTAGTCTTTTAAACAAGCAGCTAATGTACAAATAATTCAAAATAGAAGCCTCTCCCCAGCATGAGAGGCTGTTAACCTGCCCTGCTGCGAGTCCAAAATAAACTAAAGAATAATAAACTTTGGTCAAAGGGACATTCAAGTGCTTAAAAAATCCATCCTGTTTGAAATGTGACAGTTAAAAACACCATCAAATAACAGGTTAAGACGAGACAGGATGAAATATTAGTATAATTCATTGAGTTAATTTGAAGCACCTAACGTATTTGCTAACATTAGCATATCTGATAGCTCCACTTCCAACAAACAGTTTTCTGATGGTAAATAAAACTTATAGACAGTTGTCTTCTTCAGCACAAAATGATCAGTCACTGAAAATAAGATTAATAAGGCATCAACCTGATGAACAAACTAACTTTATGAAACTTACCGTCTGCAGAGGACGGCAACATGTTAACATCTCATGATGTGTTTTGTTTTTACTGCTACTGTGCTGCCATGGAATAACCAAGTCTGCATTTTACTGTCTTTAATTGATTTTTGGTGAAAAGTAGCCAACTTTGGAAAGTTTAAGTCTTGTTTTTTTTCCTCTTTGATGCAATCATCTTTCTATTCCACCATTATTGTCGCTCTTTGATTTGCCCGCGGCTTCTTCTGTGGTTCGCTGGCAGGCACCTCTTCTTCTTTTCTAAACAAAACAAACAGACAATAAGAAGTGATTCTGCCCTCTGCAGTTCATTACAGTTACAAATGAACATTTACGTGGGTAATTAATATGATGAGTCAACATTATAATTCCACATCGATTTATTTTTATAATTGACATCGTTGAGTATGTTGACTAATTGTTACAGCCCTACATATGGTCATGCTAACAAACTGATCAAATATTTAAGTTTTGTTAGTAATTTAGATGAAAAAATGTTTTCACAAGTTGGCTTAAGTTCTCTAAAATGTTATAGTAGAACCAAACTGTGGAAATTCACTTCCAGTTTTTAACAGCTTACCTACAGAAGTATTAAAATAATTCATACAAGAAGAACTTATAAGCGTTAGCTGATAACATGTCGTTAACAGGATTAATCTTCCTGCGTGGCACCGTGTCAAAGATAATTAAGAGTCATTTCAACGCTTTCTGTGAGCTCTGTTCATTTTCTGTCTGGCTGCACACAGAGCAGCAGGTCTGAGCTGTCAGTCATGAGTGGGAGGAAGAAGATGAGGGTCACGCTTCCAGTTTTATTCAGCTCTTCTCTGAGACGTCAGCTCCTCCACTGGTGTAAAAATGTTCTAACAGAAACCGACCCGAGTGCACAGGTTCAGTAACGGCTCACTAATTGGTGAGATACTTTGTCACACTGAGTGCATAACAATGTTACACACACACACACACACACACACACACAMACACACACACACACACACACACACGCTCAAACCTTTCAGACGAGGCAGAGCTCCATGAGAAGACAAGCCGCTCCAAGCTCGACCCGTTTCTTCCTGCTGAGTTTGGTTTAGTCAGTTTCAGRTAAACGGGTCACACAGGGACTAAAYGCTGAGGCTGCTGCTTCAGATCATAAAGCACCTGCAATGGGGGAGGAGTCACTGGGGACCATTAGGTTTTAGAGAATAAATTTTTATTAGCTCAGGTCACTCTCAGCTGTGTTGGGTCTCCATCTGCTTCAGGAACCACTCAACTGTTTCCTTTTTCCTCCCACTGTGATCGTTTTGTCTCAGATCGTCCACCTTTTCTTTATCTTTTTTTCTTTTTTWAAWTTTTTTAGTTCTGCTTGTTTTCTGTCTGAGTCAAAGTCAAAACTCCTGCTGTGGCRTTATTTGGAACCAGGGCACCAGCTTCTGTCCTGAAAACCTCTTCATTTTGTTGTTTCTGTGTCACTCATTTTGTTGACAGACTTTCTGTCAGTGAATCAAACCAGAAGCTATTATTGGTCTGTTTTTCTTAAGCTTAGCYGTAAAAGTTTAGATCCAAAGCAGCGTCTAATTCCCACATGGAGAACGTCACAAATCTTMTTTTCTTCCTGCAGCTCCGAGTCTTTGATAGCAGCAGCGACGTGTGCTGCTTTGTCACCTCTGTGTGATGTGCCACACGGCTCTGCCTCTTAAATATTCTCTTTGATGTCACCGGTATGTCAACCGGAGTCCAAACCGCCACGCAGCCGTGTGTTCAAAGCTCAGCCGAACATCCTGCGCAGCGGCTCGGCTGCTAATGAGGCGAGAACGCCCCCAACACCTTCCAAAACACAGATGTGGCCTGGATTTAGTCACCTGGTTTGACTGTTGCTGAGTGCAAGTGTCTTTAGACACTGAAGGCTCTGAAAGCCTTTAATTAAACCACTGTGATTATCAGTTTGGTTGGTTCCACAGAAACCTTGCTTGTATCAGGTTGGACCTCTTTTACTTTTAGATCCTGCCTTAGGTATTCATAGCCAAGATCCATCAGGTGTTGGAAATGTTTTCCTCTTAAGTAATGCAGATTTGTCACCCACACGTTCCAAAGGTCCTCGTCCATACGTCTCCAAGGGCCAGGACAAGAAATCCTAAAGGTGCAAAGGTCCTCCACTGCACATCCATAAGGTACTCCACCACATGTCCCAAAAGTCCTCCTCATCATCACATCCTAAAGGTCTTCAGCYGCATGTCCCAAAGGTGCAATGGTCCTTGGCTGTGCATCGCAGAGGTCCTCGACTGCACGTCTCAATGGTCCTTGACAGCAAGTCCCTAAGTTCATCAACCACACTCCCCTAAGTTCCCAAAGTTCCTCAACCATGTGTACCAGAGTTCCTCGGCCAAACTTCGCGACGGTCCTCAATCACACATCACAAAAGTTTTCTACAGCAGGTCCCTAAGGTCCTGAGCTGCATGTCCAAAAGGTCCTAGGATGTGTGTGCTGGGGCTACTCGACCACACATCCCAGAGATTCTCTTCTAGACTGAGATCTGGTGAATAAGACTTATGAAAGCAGGCAGTGTTGTTCCAGTCTCCTACTGTCCAATGTTGAGTACATAGGATCAGTTCTTGGCTGACAGGAAGTGTTAACTTGTGTGGGTTTTATGTGGACCATCTGCTTCAGGGTTGGACATGTTTCAGAGACAGTTCTGCAAGTTTTAATGAGCTCCTGTTGTCTTTCTGTCATCTCCAACCAGTCCACCCTCTGATGTCTCAATGTTTGTTTGTTTGTTTGTTTGTTTTTTACTTTTCTGGACCTTTAAGATGTTTGAGCAGAAGAATCCCAATGATACGTTCAGAGTCACTTCAGTCCTCTTTCTTCTTCGTTCTGGCTCCTGGTTTCTGGTYGTCTTCACCACGTGTTGATGCCTAAAGGCTGTGAGGTGCTGTGATTGTCTGCTTAGATATTTGTTCTAACAAGAGAATGAACAACTGGACCTCATAACACGTTGGTTCTCTCAGAGAAAGATCCATATTACAAGACGGTCCAAACCTCGAGAAACCATGTGAATGAATATCCTTCCTTTGTTTAATCGGGAAGTAAAATATCCACAACAACATGAAGTTTTAACTCAGATTAGAAATTGTGCAACCCCCCCCCCACCCCCACAAAGAACATTTCTAATTCAGATTCTAATACAAGCTGATTTAGAATCTTGATACAGTAGATCCAAGGTTCTGTTTTGAACCATGTCAGGAGTAAAATTTATATTTCTCATTTGGWGGATGAATTTGTCTAAAATTCTCTATTTGTTTACCAATTTAAAGAAAATACTGTGGTGAGAACAGGCTTGTAACAAAACCCATGACCGTGCTCTGGTCCCTGTCGAAACCTATTGGTTCTAGCAGAAACTTGATCCTTTGGTTACAGAGGCAGACGTTCCATTTTGGTGTCAATAAAGCTTTGCAAAACTGGCCAGTGTTGGATTTCCAAAGTCTGGATCTCCAGATCAAATATGGTTCCTGGTCTGAGTTTGGGGCCATGGATCCTGTGTTGAATTAGAGACAGACCAGAGCTATAGTATGACACCAGTTTGTCTTCAGTTCAGAGGCCTGACTTGAACCCAGCCTGATCTCCTGCAGTCCATCAGAGCGTTTCCTTCGTGAGCCTGCTGGGTTTTCTCATTAGACTCACCCGTGGAAAATCTCAGAAATAATTGGTCATTAGTGAAAGGAGGAAAGGCTTGTGATGACAGCGCTGTTTGTCCATTTCCTGACATCCACGTGTCCACGTCTGTGCTTGTATGTTTGTCTAAAGGAAGTGATGTGCTCGGTCATTAACACGCAGCAGGTTGTTGCTGCTCTCCTGCAGCGGTGCCCACAAACCTGGGCTCATTACGGCGTCTCGGTTCAGATCCGGGCCCGATTCACTCGTCTTTGCGTGACTCCGGCTTATCCTGAAATGCAGCAGAAGAAGAATCACCGTAAACAAATCTCATTAGCAAAGAAAAAAAACTTCTTAAAATCAGCGAAGGTCAGTCTGAGAGAAGTAAACAAATAAATTGGAACGTTATTAAAATGTTCAAGTTTGAACATTATTTATTTAGAGATTAGAGAGTCTTCAGTTGTAAAAAATAGAAATATGTTTTAGGTGCGTTCAGTTAAAAATGTCAGAGAATCAATATTTACACAAATGTTACAATTTGTGTAAAAGAAAATTTTTACTTATTTAATGAGTTATTCATCTTTTTTTTCTGCCTTGCAGGTTGTATTTCTTGAAAAAAAAATCTGGCTTAATAATTAAATCAGAGAATCACCTCCTGCTCCTGCACCACCCGAAGTATTTTTTATTTTAATTGTGGGTAAAGTTAATCAGACAGGCTGGATTGGATTTCTAATTTAATTTTAGCAAGAACTCTGCAATAACACTGCAGATTAACCAAATTAAATGTTGGGGGGGGACCTCCTGTGAAGTAATTATAAATATAAAGGTAAAAAAAAGGCAAGTCTCTAACTCACAGACAGATGATTTCATGACTGCAGCTTTATATTAACTCAGAAAGCACAGTAATTCACATACAGTCGCCACAGATTAGTTTMAAATGTCCTACCTTCTTGGCAAAAAAGTCTTGTTTTTTATTACTCTGTCTTTGTTGTACTGTTCAGTCTCCTCTGTCTGCTCCAAATACATTTTGAAACAGAAAATCTCTTCTGTTGGACACAGGTTTTGTTGAACTTTATACCTGCATTTKATCAACTCATGTTAGGTGTATTGTTTGTATAAATGCTCTAAAACCAGCAGAAAATGTCCTAAGGGCATCATTTTTTAATCCCCAATGAGACTCTTATTTATTTAAGTTAATAGTACCAAATATTGCCAACGGGGAGTATATATTATATAAGAAAATAATATGATAAATCCACTGACAAACACTGTTGGTCTGTACCACTCCATAACTGTAAAAAGTTAAAAAAAAAAACTTTTTAAGTCCCATTTTAAAAATTGCCAAAATATTTGTAATTCATGAAAATAATGAGCGTAAAAAGATATCCATTTCTCATCTCTCTCTCTCTCTCTCTCTCTGTGTGTGTGTGTGTGTGTGTGTGTGTGTGTGTGTGTGTTCCCAGACACGTTTGGAATCCTGCTGGGTCTCCTGCTCAGACCTGAGGAAGCCATCATGCTGGTGAGTGTATTTGTAACCAAATCACATTTAGAAGGTTCTGGTTTCAGCTGTTTTATATTATTACATTATGATATAATAACATGAGAAGTAAGACATTGTGTGGCATATCTCTAAACCAAGAAATGTATTGTGTAGGGATGGGAATCTTTCAGTATATCACGATTGATTTGATTCGATTCGATTTGATTCAGTTCGATTCTATTCTGATTTTTAGGGCCACGATTCAATTCAAAAGTGATTTTTCATTAAAAATTGACAATGTGAGCCCATTTGTCGTGTTCCCAAAGTGTTTCATCTTCATTTTGTAAAGCTTGCACACAGTGAAGCTTATGTCAAAATCAGACTCATTCAGTAAAAAAACAAAACGAAGACGAGGCCAGAGGCTGCTTGGTGATGTCAGGAAGTCCCATGCAGTTACAAATGGAGGCTGACAGCCATTGGATTTGATTTTTATTTTATTTTTTAACTCTAAAAATAGATTTTGGGATATTTGAAATTGATTCTGAATCTTTGTAAATGAGAATTACGATTCTGAAGTGAATCGATTTTTTTTGTACACCTCTAGTATTTTTGTAACCCGTCTAAAACCATTATATAATTAGGTTTGTGGTGTAAGTTTTTATCTGTTCTCTTGGGACAACTGAGTCTGYTGAACTATGAGATGAAACAATTAGAAACTGTTCCTTTCTTTGTTTTGGAAAATATCTCTTTTTTTCTGTTTTGACTCATTTAATAGACTTTGTATGAAACACATTTGAACTCAAACAAGTATTTTAACTTTTCAGACAGAACCCTCTGTGTTTTGACAAATGGAGCGTGGAATCTATAGACAGATCTGTCTATGGAGGGTAAATAGACAGACAGATGGATAAATGGACAAACATATGGATGGGCAAACAGTTGGTTGATGGATGGATGGATGGATGGGTGTTTGTCTACAGTTGATGGAGTTGTAAAGTGTTAATCAGTCTAAAATGGGTGTAACTCTGAGTTAACATCTGAACTGGTGGGAGTCATCCATCGTTTCTTGTATAAAACTCTGCTGTATAAAAGTCACAGCAGGTGATATTTATTCCTGTAAGAAATGCTAACCTCTTAATTCTTCATAACACAGACTGTGACCTTTAGAAGCCTCTGAATGTGTTTTTACACAGTTGTGATGTCTTTGTAAATATTTTGTTGTTATTTTGTTCACTGTCTGAGGTTGAAAACTGTTTTTAGACTTCACCATTTGAAGCTGGTTGAGAGGATTTCTGATGTTTTTGTTCATTTCCAGTCTGTGTTCAGCAGTCTGACTGACTGGAGGGCTCTAACCTGTTTCTCTCTGCTCTACATCGCTGCTGTTGTTAGAACAATAAAGCTGAGCTGACGGCTCTCGTTACCCAGGAAGTGGAGCCAGAAGTCAACCCTGACCTCGGGCTGTGTCAGCTGTGATTTCCAGCTGAGCGTCCGACTCTGGTGTTGATGGTGAGCTGGACTCTGGGCCAGAACCTGTCGTCAGAGAGAATTTACAGATGCAGAAGGTGTTACTGGTTGGAGCCGGTTCCAGAGGTTCTGTGGTTAGTTTAGACCAGGGGTGTCAAACTCATTTTCACTGAGGACCGCGTGAGCATCATGGTGGCCCTCAAAGAGTCAGAAACAGTGTTTTAACATGTTTTCTTATAAACACAGAAAAATACTATGTGTAAAACTAAATGAGAAACAGACATTACAGAAATACTATTAAAAGTAAAAGTAAGCTTGTTTTACCACAGAGTTGTGGTGAGTAGCTGCTATTTTGATTTCTGAACTCTTCCACTTTCCAACAGGCAATTCCCACTGGAGCGGGCATTGCAAGTGACATTTACAACATGTAAGTGGGAAATTCCCACTTCAAAGTAAACTAGGCCCCAGCAAAAGTAGCCAGCAAAAGCCTGGATAAATGGAGATTTTACAC